TCTGTCACCCTTTTCCAAACCCAAGATACCTGCGCATTACCTGAAGAGGGTTGACCGGTAATGTGAGCAGTTATACATCAAGGGATGGTTTTTCTGCTAGTATCACTGGCTTGACTCCTGCTCCTCCTTATTCTGCAATAAGAACAAAAATGTTATCCACTACCATCGGCACCGACCCCTTCAAGCGCTTCCTCAAACTCTTTCTCTACCACCCTAGCGCTAGCATAAAAGCAATCGATACCGAAATAATGGAGCTGCATAAGGACGATGTCCACAAATGTCAGAGGAAGCGTAGGGAAACTGCTGGATGAAGAAGCTGCTTCCTCGGTCAATCCGTACGCAAAGCAGCTACGAGATCTGAAGCGAATCGTCGATCAGAGGGAAAATTCGTCCGCACAGTCCGTCTTCAACGTGATGGTGCAGCCACTCCGTCCAAAAAAGTTCGAGCCGAACCTCATGCAATAGAGCTGGATGGCTCTCCCCTTGCAAAGAAGTAGCACAGACATTGCTCCTTCTAACTGCTTGCCTCCCGTATTCAACCGTTATACAGCCGAGAAAACCTCCACGACTTGAGCCCAAGTCAAAGTTGAGATGATGTCCAACTTTGCGTCGCGCGCGTGCATTGTGAAGCGATGGCATCCACGAAGTGCTCAAAAACTGGCAAGGATCCCGCAATAACATTGCTGTATAATTTTGATCTTGTACGCCTCTCTATAAAAAGAAAGCCTAATTTGAAAAAATGTGACAGAACTTTCCCGCCAACCTAATATGTGTTGCTTTTCAGGGCTACTTCTACCATGGATATCGGCTGTGAACTGGTGGCACGTCTATTGAACGATAATAGGACAAGATTTCGAGAACTCATCGAAAGTCATTCGGGTGAAATACTTGGGGCAGCGAACATCACTGCCGAAGACGTCAGAAAAATTCGACGGGCTCGAGCAGTTGGTGGTGGAGTCGTCATATTTTTCAACCAGGTGTGTCCTTCCTTTGAACCTTGTTAGGCTTTTTCTCTAGAAAGACAACAACAAGCCGTAGATATTAAGGACAGGATTAACATCTCATCTGTTAAAGGACACTAGGATTTTTTCTAAAGGGAGTTAATTAGTTCTATCGAGTAGAGAAATGCGAGAAAAACTGAATTCTCTGCAAAATTGCAGGGAATACGACGGCCGTGGCAGAAGGGAAACGTTTTCGAAAGTCTCGAGTCTCTAGGGGAATTCTTTACACTATTTGATGAAGCGGAGGAAATTAATGTTGGCACGGTAACTTCTTTCGGGTAACGCCATGCATTCCAACTCCAGTCACATTGACGGGATACTCGAATGCTTACATAGCCTAAAACCTAACGATTTGTGGAACAGCTTGATGGTCTGTTCTGAGATTTCTCTTTCAGTTTGCAAAGCAACCCCGTAGTACTCAAAGGCACGTTACACGCTCAACACATGAGCGGAGTCACGTGGATCACTGCGCCTTCCTCATGGCAGTGGTCTCCGTTTCTGCTCTAGAAAGATGGACCGTGAATGTGAAGTGTACCAACTACACCCATGCTACCGTAGCGGGATGGGCCTCTATTATCTTCCGAGACCAGGGTTTGAGAAGTCGGACAATT